AATTAAATGAACAATTGTATTGCTGATTGTGAGAGATATTGAACCATGGTTCTTCAATTTATTATTTGCATAACACATTAACTATACTAGCTAACTTATCACAGTAAACTACAACTAACCAAACACAAGAGCGTATAGGATTATAGCATGAGTTTTGGCTTTTTCTTTCATTTGCTTAGCTAATGAACTAGAAGCAAGAACAAAATTCTAAGATGCATGGCAACATTTAGAAAATTTCATGGTTATATTGGGATCTAAAGATAGTTCCATCTAAAAATGCCAAGAGCATTTTAATGTAGTCACCCTCACCCTCACCCTGTTCAATGATACATATGCAATTAACTATGCCAGATAAATAAAAGAATCTTATAGGAGTTATTTCTTTTTGGCTAGTTTTTTCTAGCTCTTAAAAATTTGTGATCTCAGTATTTGACTTGGAAATAAGTTTTGGATTTTAGTGAGACTGACTTCTAATAGTTATGATTATAAAAGTTTGGCAAAAGAAAGTTTCAGAAAGTCTAGGCATGATCAATATCTTAGGAAAGCTGAAATTATGTTCCAGAAGGTTATTTTTTTTTGTTTGAGTTCTAAAATGATAATAAACATGGAGAGATAGGAAAAACAATTATAAGGTAAATGAGTAACAGGAAGCAAGGAATTGTTTAAGCTGAAAGGAAATAAATCTGTCAAGAAAATTACATATGGAAAAGTACCAGGAGTAAGATATTGATCTTAGAAAGAGAAGTGATATATGGAATAGTTGCAGTTCAATAGCCTTAAGGAAAAATTATATAGCACATTTCTAGGTAATTTACCAATTTGTTAATGAATAATTGCATGTATATGACATTGCTATTCATTTTAAACTAGCTATATGTGTATTCCTGATTCTTTTATTAGTGTCATATTTGAATTTGTATCATTTAGCTTGATGTTGCATGCATCCATCTACTGTATTTTATTAATCATGACTTATTCAAGAAATTGTACTTAATGAAGCAAGAATTTGTCACAATCTAACAACACTCAAAGAAAGTAATTTTATCAATCTTGAATGAATATGCTTACACTGTTATACAGTCCTATAACAGTTGTCTGGAAGAATTTAGAGACCACTAGATGGCACCAAAAAAATACTGTAAAGAAAGTTAATTCTATTTAGTGTATTGCAGTTAGAGAAATGAGGTAGCATAACCTTCATGCCATGCACTTAGAATTTGGACTCAGTGAAGCTTAATTACATGAAAGTAGATACAATTTCATGCTGCTTAAATGATGTGTGGGTACTTCTATAGCCAACATGTCAATCAATAATTCTGGGCACTTACAATTCAAAAATTGAATTTCTTGATATTTCACCTCCTGGCCCAAATTGTACATACATTAGGTAAAAAACGGGCTATTTGCAGCTTCAGGAATTGTATTCATTGTGTTAATCATTGTTACATATAGTGCAAATAGTTATTATGCAGCTTGTGACACATGGTGTTAGGATTAGAGACATTTAGCTGTCAAGTTACGTGACCCTTGCACCCCTAACCCTTTAGGGAAAAAACCCCCAGGAGTGTTCAAACTTGACAGCTTTAAGACTTGTGGACTTCAACTCCCAGAATTCTTCCTCTCACTCTTCATCTTGATGATGTGCGGACGGGCAGGGGGAGAGAAAGGTGGAACCGGTTCTAAATGGCACTGTAGATTTGTGGAACCTCTTCTATAGAAGAGATTAGAACTGGCAGGAACCCCCCCGTGCTACAGACCTATGTTGTAATAATCTGGAATTTTGCTAGATGGAGAATGATGATTATTATGTTTGTCTAGCTTTGCTGCTATCTAGTGGTCCTTCAAGTTTTTAGAAGCCAGATACAATAGTCCAATCTATGGATAACAATTTTCTTATAAAATTTAAATCACAATGTTGGCATAACAAAATGAGATAAGACTTTGATGGGCATCAACATGATCTCCAAAATAAAAGTAGGATTTTTAAAATTAGGGT